GTATCAAATAAAAGTACAGAGTGATATAAAAGAAGACAGACTAAAAATTAATTGTTTGGTAGGGAAGGAAATTTCATTAAAAATTAATTTTCCAATTTAGAATTAAGAATTAACAATAAAAGTGTGTACTTGGAATTAGTAATTAAATCTTTCCGAATATAAGATGTTTAAAATTATGTCTCATTGTTATTTTATTTTATAACAGTATATCTTGCATATATTAAGGAGAAACAGGAGAAATAATAACGAATTTTAATGAAATTGAAAAAATATTTTACTTTAACTAAATTAAATTATTTACTTTTACAAATATTAATAAACATAAAATTGAAATACAGCTTATTTTGAAGAGCGATACAAAAACAAGGTTAAGGAAAAAATTTACCCTAACATTATGAGGAATAAATTGGTGTCAACAAATTAAAAAAAACATCAACATACGTTATTTAGCATATTAAAATTGGTTGACGTAAACTTTCTCATCTAGAATATGTTCTTTCTCATGTAGAATATGTAAGAGAAGAATAATCGGTTTAATATAGTATTATGATTGTGCCGATCAATGTTTTAACTTAATTTAATTACCTTCACCTTGCAAAGTACGGGGGCGCCCTGAAAATAATATTAAGTTTTGATAAATTTTATTGATTTATTTTCTGGTTCGATGATTTTGTTAAAAAAATTTATATTTTGCATACTTTTTATTAATTAAATTATTTATTTAATACCTTTATATTGCAAGTAAATAAATGTAAGTGTCATATTACTTTTATTATGAGAAAATATAGTTAAATATTGTAAATGATCCAATTATATTTCTTTTAATCTAATTTTCTTCTTTTAATTTGATTTTCATCCCGAGGGTACGCAATAGTTATAATATGTTAATATGGGTATTTTACGAGAAGCGTGATCAAAACATATTCAAAATTCCAGATTACAAATTATATCCGTAGCAAAGAGTAATACAAATTTTCTTCAAAAGCTTAAGATCAACTGACTGTCAAGATCAACCGATTGCAAAGAAAATTTACAAATTCAAACTCAGCCTAGAGTAGACTATTTTAATTCACTTCGATTTTTAATAAGTCATATCATTTTTAACTTCAATAATTCAAAACACATTTTTAAACACAATTGAAACGATAATAATTTCTTAAAACATAAAATATTTTGTAAAACGGAAGTATATTTGTAGATAGCCACAAAAATTTCTTCAAAGAATCGCAGTATGACAACCGCTAGTGTAAAATATTGTTTTAATTAAAAAAGGTCAATTTAATATCGTTTTTCTAAAATACGCCTCTTAATTTAACTTATTTTTAAATACAAACAATTAAAATAATATTGTTAATTTAAAAATATTGTTAATTCAACAAAGTATTGAATTTATGTAACGAATCCAAAAGATTTGAAAAATAAGGTATATGACATTTTCTAACTTGTTCAACATTTTTTTTAACACTATGTTCATAGAAAAACAAAAACGTATCTCAATAAACTTGATGATTATGTTGAATGAAAATAAAAAAAAAAAAATTAAAAAAACAAAAAAAAAGAGAGAGAAATAAAAAACAAAACTTCATACATTTTCGTTTTAAAATCTACTCAATACCATACCGTGTCGTCGTCGTTGTCGTGTGTGTATCATGTATGTTTGTTGTACTACTCAACAGACTTTTTTTTATTTAAGAGTACTTATGTACATAAATGTGTGTAATCATATAACAGGTAAGGTAATATATAAGTAAACAAGACAAAAAACAACAACTTAAAAAAAAAAAAAAAATTAAAACTAACCAAACAAGAGACCAACATTAGAAACTTTCATTTTACAAATATTTTTTAAAGTTTAGTTATTATTGTGACTCTCGTCGGTAAAGTGGTGTATTTTTTTTTGGGTGCTCGGACCGTACCGTGTTGCATACCAACATTTTACAATAAAAACATAAACATTTTATTTCTGTTTAAAACAAGAAAAAAAAAACGAAAAATAAAAAGTGTTTTTGTGTTTTTGTATTTTTTTTTTCTGTTTTTCGTCAAGTTTTTGGTTTTGTACTGATTTTTTTTTACCATTATATTTTAAATTAATTTTTTTTTTATTTTTATCAACAAAATTTTTAAATTAAACTCTTTGATGAGATTTTGTTTTTGTTCAATTTTTATTTTTTTTATTCTATTTTGATTTTTTTTTAATTTTTCCAATAAGGAAACAAGGCATATTTATACATATACACATATACACACATATAAACACTAAGTCGCACCCTATATACATATTAAAAATATACCGCATTCAAGAAGAAAATAACAGTATAAAATATTTACATATGTATGCTTACAAATGCACATACATATATGTATGTATGTATGTATGTATGCAAAAATCAACTCTCAAAACGGATAACTTTCAGGTTTTTTTTAAATTTAATTGCGTTATTTTCATTTTTAATAATTACCATAATTTCGTGTTAATTTATGACGAATTTTTATTTTAAATTGTATATGAAAATAATTATATACTCACTAGCTTAAGTGTTAAAATTATAAAAAAAAATATTAATTATATATAAGAAAAGACTATAATAAAAGTTCTTAACTGATAAAATTAAAAAATATTATTGAGATTTTGGGTTGTACTGCGGAGTTAAATTTCTGGAAACGTGATTGTTTATAAACATTTTTAGATATACATGCGTATGGATATGTACATATATATACAAACATGTCAAACATTTACAATAACAAGAATATTTATAAATATATTAACATTAAAAGTGCATTAAAATTTAAAAATAGGATTATTAATAAAATTTATTTTTAAAATTAATAAAACAGATCCTTTACATACTTATGTACATATATTCGAATATTATGTTAAAGTTATTGATACATAAATTATTTGTATAGTATAGTTGAAATAATATTTTAATAAATATATATTTATGAATAAGTATAAAATATAATCTATATATACATACACAGGATATTCCCATTCGAAATGTGTAGGGTGTTTTAAAAATCGAGCGTAGATGTTGTTTTAAATAAACAATCCAAAAATTTATGGGTAGAATTTTGAATTATTTACTATTTTTATTAAAAATGTAGCTCATTATAGTTATATGTGAAAAATTATGTAATTTTAAAGTACACCTACGAGTATAAAGTACACCTACAGGCTGTCATACAAAAATCAAAATTTTTAAGTACTCGCGCATTAAACATGCACAAATCTTTTTTCAAATATTCTGTTTCAGGTTCTGGAATACTGTATTTTTTGGAAAAATAAATTTTTATAGAACTAATTCATACAATTTACTAGATTTGACAACACTCAGGCTGTAAAGTTAACATAAAATTTGAGTATAACTTTATTTTTGTGTAATTTAGAGACATCAAATATGAGTTTAAGAAATTTGAACAAAAACTTCTGAATAAATACTTAAAATTTCGAAATAATTTATGGCTTTCGGATTTTAAAATTATTTATGAGTTAAAAGTTAAAAAAATTTCAATTTCACGCTTTAATTTCGGAAAAAAAGTCAAATAATTGTTGTAACATGCAGCTATCTTTAATCTTAGTCATACATATAAAAACTATTTATTCATCGTTTATGGTCCGGAAGTTTTTATGCAAATTTTACCGAATTCTTTATTCATTTTGACATCAAATTTAAAAAATGGTTACTTTCTTCCATTATGTTCAACCTTATGAATTAATCTACTTGAATGCTTATGAATATTAAAGGGCATAAATTTCTTTGACACAACTCTATATAAAGAACTTTCAGTTCTTTTCATAGGAAAAATATTTACCATAATACAAATCAAGGGGGTCTAAATTAAGAGATCTGTGTGGTATAATTTTATTTCTCTTTTGCTTGCAAGAAAATTAAAAAAAAAATTATTACCGGTAATATTAACCGGTAAATGGTTCTAATATTTTAAAGCCCTTCATTTTCAACTTAAATACGAATTAGTATAATTGTAAAAAATTTATGTATGTAATATAAAAATATTTTATATTTTTAATTTTTATAATTTTTAAATAAAAGTAATATACGATAATAATTTTAAATATTATAATAATAATAATATAAAATTATTTAATAAATTAATTATTATTAATATTTGTTCAAAATATGTAATAAACATACACTATATACAAAATTATTCAAAAATATTAAATACATGATAAATATTAAATAACAATAAAAAATTTGAATAAAATTTTAATGAAATTGTAAATTTTATTAAAAAAAATTTAATGAAGAATAATTTTTTTGAACATGAATTTTAATTAACTCTTCTAAATTAATGTTAATAAAAATTATTTTGTGTCGTATAATTAATGTGTGCAAATCATTAGTGTTGTATTAATTTAATAAAAATATTGCGACAAATAATCGATTCATTAATTTATGAGAAAACTAGAATTAATCGAATCAAGTATTTGTCAAATTATTTTAATTGTATACTGGATTGTCAAAAATTATATACTGGATTGTCAAAAATTATATACTGAATTATGTGTATAACACTTAATTATATTTTATATTATATATAACAATTGGATATTTAAAGATATTTTATACATACTTGTATTATCTTTAATATTATTAATTTACTTGCAAATTGACTTCTTAATTTAACATTTGATTGCTTCTTTTAAAATATATAATTAATTTAATATTTTGTTTTTATCGTTTATTTTATAGTTAAATTTAGATTTTAATTGAATGTGACTTTAAATTAATATTTTTAATATTATTATTAAAAATTAATTCTACAAATATATACGAAAACTTAAGGAAAATAAAAATATAAAAAGAAAATTTTAAAAAATAACAAAGAAAATTAATGTTATATAAATAAGAATTTTGTTTTAAATTTTTTATAATTATTAATAATATATGCAATAAAATTTTAATTAATTTGTTAACAATTAAACTTTCCTGATTTTTATATTTTCAATTAAATTGTAAGTACCACTCAAGTACTACTAGAATATAGTGAAATTAAAAGAAGAAAAATTTTAAACAAAAGAAATTAAAAGTATAGATGCGAATCTAAATTGGTAAGTAAAATGATTGAATTTATTAATATTCAAGTAATTATTAAATATTAAATTTAGAATACAAATTAATCCAAAATATAAGTACTATATATTTAGATATTAATATGCTATTTGAATAATTAAACCGTCCAGAATCAAATTGAATAAAAATATCAAATATCAAAAACCAAACATCAGCTCTACTATCAAAAACATTTTGTGTAAATTTTAGCAATTCTATGCTTTATGGTTTGTGTGATATGATTACACACTATTTTTGAAGCTGTGCGGTAGCTACAAATAAATACTTCAACTAAAACCAATTTCAATAGGATGGTTAGCCTAGCCCAATGCATTTTTAAATTATTGGTGACACGGACGGACAAACAGGCAAACATATCATTAATTGACTCAAAATTCCATCCCGATCAAAAACATGTGCTTAACATATGTCTTTATCTCTGATATTTATTTATTACCGATTCAAACAATGTGGTATAAATGTATAAAACCCTTCGAGTATTTTCGAGTTCGTACGGGTATAAAAATAACAAATTCAATTGTAATGTATGTACGTAAATAATATGAGAAATTATTAGTCTTCTTTCCGTTTCTCTAGTAAACGGCTTAAAATAACATAAGCAATTTTTTCTACAGCTGGCTTGTGATTGATTTAAAGACTTTTTATACTCATATCGAGAGAAACGATATTCCGGGAATAGTTGTCAATAATCAATGAAGATATGTCATTGTCTGATCATGTTATTAATTATTGGATTTAGCATAAAAAAGCAAATTTTCGATTTCTTTTGAGTAGGGAGAAAAAACAGAACAAACCACAATTTGTCGATTCGATTCGCTTGTTTCTAAATAGAGCAAAACCACTTCTATTAAAAAAAGGGAAAAACTATTTCATTTTTTAATTTTTTTTTATCTCAGATTTAATTACCAAACACTTTTTTATACTCTGCACCTTCGTGAAGGGTATATTCATTTTGGTATGGAGTTATCTCCGGTATGCACATATGTATATATATATTATATTCTTGCTCAGCGTAAATTTTTGCGTCGATTTAGCCATGTCTGTCAGATCGCACGATAACTCAAAAACGAATACTGCAATCGATACCAAACTTTCACAAGTTGTTTCTTTTCTGTCAAGAACGGCTGTATATTGACTAATTCTGACTACGGGTTCAGGTAACTGCCATAGAAATCAAAGAAATTTTTTTAAATATTTCAACAACTAATACAAATATTAATATCAAATTTTGCATATTTTTGCATAGATATTTCAAAAACAAATTTTAAACTCAGATTGCCAATGTGTGGGGGATAATTCAGTTATATGCAGGGTTTATACCAACTGAAATGTTTTTACTTGTTTTGAAAAACGTTTTTGTTGCCCCATGAGTATAACACTTTAATTCTATATCTGTACAATTTGCTTTAAATTTCCTTATGTTTCAGTTTTTATACCTTTACGTTGGCTAACCAAGTTCACTAACTAACAATTGATGAGTTCGCATTAGAGCAGCAAATTAAACAAATTAAAAATTACTAATTTCATAAATTTCTAAATTTACACTATTAGATACCAAATATATAATTTTAAAGTGTCGTTATAAATGTTTAGTAAAAATCTCTTACATTTCGAATAAATTTTTATCTTTTCGCATCTACAACGTTTATTACAATGATTTGTAAATAAATTTAAAATAGTAATTAATATAAGATTTCATTTAATTCTCTATAATTTTTCTCTATGTTTTTCAAAGTCAATACAGTTAATCTCGATCAAAACAGATAAATTTTTATATTATTTTTAAGCTTTTAATTCACACTATCAATAATAGAGAGGGATTTGTTGGTTTTTTTTTTGTGTGTTACTTTTTGGTTAAAATTTGACCTCAAATCATTTTTATACTTTCAAAGATAAATGAAACTTTTGTTACCAAAAAAAAAAATTATATTAAAACAAAAATATAATATTAACCGTTTCCGAAATGTTTAAAAAGCGTTTCTTGAAATTTCCTCTTTTTTTTTTTTGTTTTGTATTTTTTTGACCCTATATATTTAAGATCGAGATCAATAAACAAAAATATCAGCTTTGAAATAAAACAAATAAAAAAAGATACATATATATATATACATATATATATTAAGCGGTTTGTTTAATTATCTTAAGAGTTATTCTGAAATACCGCAATCGTCGTTAAGATATTAAGAAAAAATAAAGCGAGAAAAAAACAGAATCAAAGTAAGATACAAAAAAAAAAAGCACACGGAAAACTTTCTCTTTTATTTCTTATAGCGTAGCCAACCTATATGCAAATACACGTACTCATGATATTCCAATAACTTACCCACACATACTTATAAAATGTGAAGATTTCTTCACTTCATTGCTACATTTATATTTATATATTTATATATGTGTATTTTATGGGTTTTCATCTTACCTTTTCGATTATTTTGTTTAAATATTTTCCACATACATTTCTTATATTGTTTTTTATTTTAGTTTCTCATTTTTAAAAGTGCTATGTAACAAAACTCAGACAAGTTAATTTGAAGAAGAGAAAAAACAAAGTATAGAAAATATGAAATTCTTGGCATATATGCGAAAGCATATCAAAAGATTTTATAATGTAAAAGTTAAAAAAATTTAATAATGTTTGGTCAGATTAACTCTTAGGATTTAATTAATAAAATTAAAAGCATCCTCATTGCTTAAAAGAAACTATATATTATTATTGTGTTTGTTGATATATTCTGTGAAAGTGGTTCTGTCTATACCAAAAAAAAGTTCAAAAGATAATAATCGGAAACAATTAATTAATTTAGAATACTTACTATACACTCATTTAGCTGAATAATTGAAAATAATTTCAATAATTTCCAAATTGGTAAATCAAATAATTATTTTACAAATTGATAGCCAAATGCAAGCTTGATCAAAAACGCAACCGAATGTTAAAATTTTAATAAATTATGAATTTTATTATTTTCTGATCATTAAATTTGACTTTTCTTTTAAATTAATACCTAATTGCTTTTGTAAACACGCGGTTTCGCGGTACAGCGAATTTAAGAATCTTAAGTAACTAAATTGAATATCAGAAAATAGACTAGAATTTGGTGTACCTATACTTTAAACAAAAGATAATTGGAAAGAATTAGAACTTATCCTGTGGTTTTTGCTTCATCAGAAAGTGAAGGCTTTATGATTCGAATAGTCAACATTTTTTCTTTCTGGTGTGTGCGAAATTTTTAGAGGAATGAGTTTTCATAAGTTAATAATTGAAAAAGTGTTGACTTATAAATAATAAAAATTGATATTTGAGCATACTGCGCAATTTTAAATAATTTCAATTAATTATACAGAAATTTTGCTCACATATTAAATAACAATAATACTGATAATGATATTTGAATTGATTTTCATAAAATCAAGAATGATTCATACAGAGTCTAATAATTTACAAAATCTACTGGCTAATTTATGACAACTGCCATTTTTAAGAAACTTCATGCTGCACGCGAAATTTTTTATCTAGAAAAATTTCTTCTCAATTACGTCTAATTTTTCTTAAACGTCAATTCTATCTAACAGATCATGTAGACCAGAACTCTGTTAATTTTAATTTTAATTTATGGTCATAATTATTATGAAAGTTTCGAATATTTGCAATTTTTTCCGGACGTTTTTTTTTGTTGTGTTTTTAACACAACACTAAAATTGTGGTTTACTGTGTGATACTCTAATACTCACAATACAGTATGGTTCTACTAATTTTTTTGCTTATAAATTCGAATATAATTTTAAAATTGTTAAATACGAAAATTTAATCCCATAATAGAGGTTTTCTTTTTAAACCGAGTTAATGATATTGATGAATGCTATATGGAACATTCACATTCGAATGTAATTAATTTTCTTCAAAATGTAGAAAACAAAAAAAAAAAGAAAACTATTGATTTTCGCCCTTTTACTTTATTCAATAACCCAATTTTTTATGCAATTAAAGTACAACAGCACATCAATTAAAATAAATTAAAGAAAACTTTGTTTTTCGCTTAAAGAAATATAGAAGATTGCATATGAAGTGAAGAAAATAAATATGTTTTCTTTTTTTAAGCATAATGTTTTTTTGAAAATTGAAAATGAAAACAAAACTATAAGTAAATTTGGTAAATAATTTATTGATTGGTAGATAATTGGAACCTTTTGGATTTCAATTAAAATAGTAATAAAGGAATTTAATTACGGGGCAACATTTTCGTGATTTATTACACACTTTTAATTCATTTTTATTATTCAATTTAATAAAATATTGGTGTAATTGAATGAGAATATTAAGAGAAATTTTTGTTAAAATTGTTTGTTCTTCATTTTGTGGTTATTAACTGACTATTGCTGTCAAGTAATGGTATAGAAAATAATCGTGTGTAGCGCGTATTTGAATAATAAATTCAAAATATTATTTTTTCAAGGTATACCTTGTTTAATTTTATGTTTTTCTGCACTATCACAGATTGGACAGCCATTCCTATATAAATAATGCAAACTGAATTAAACTTAAATCAAGTCGTAGACGTTATAGACGCGCAATTTATTTCTTGTTATAATTCATCTTAGTGATTGATTTAATTAACTTATTGCCAATTGTTTTACTTGATTTTAGGTTTCATTTATGTTCTCTGTGATTTTGGTGTTTCAAGTGTAAATTAAAGTGCTAAATAATGTAACTACTTAATATAATTTTACAACTGTAGTTTAAAAAAATTATAATTTTGTTATAATAATCAAACATTCCAAAGTACATAAATATATTCAGTTCTGCAACTCTTAAAAAGTGATCTTCAAAATTTCTGTATATTGGATGCTGCAGATTCCACAGTATCTCGGAATCAAACTGATTCTAAGAATACTTTCGCAGCATCTTCAATTCGTCGTTCTGATTCCTTATTGAGATGATATTAATCTTCCTTGAAACACCTAACGTGAAAGACACATT